CTAAAGAGCCGCTGACTAAATTGAATATTTGTCTTGCCAGCTCTATATTTAGCTTGATATTTTTGATTGTAAGAGATGTGGAATATAGTCAGTGTGGTATAGTGGTTTGAGCAGTGGACTATGGCTCTGGAGATCAGGGTTTGATTCCTGCATAAAAACCTACTATGTGAGCATAAAAACCTACTATGTGACCTTGGGCAAGTCACACTCTCTCAACCTCAGGGGACGTGAAAATGGCAAATTCCCTCTGAGGAAACTTGCCAAGAAACCTTATGATAGGTTCAGCTTTAGGTTCAGCTAAAGTAGGTTTTGGAGGTCATTCACAGTTGTGGCCTCAATCATGACTACAGAGAAAATTATCAGACTGGGGGCAGGGGAACTGGGAGTAAAAGGCATACTCCTGGCAAAGTCGCACAATTGTGTTGGAAATTTTTAGATGACATTGCGCTTATCCAGGTCTTTCTCAGGGAAATTCCTGAAATGGTTTGTTGCTGGAGCACTCCTGGATCTTATGGGTTAAGTCCTGGATAATCACAACATTGTCTAAAAATTTTCAGCAAAATCGTGTGACTTTGCTGGGAGTATGCCTTTTTCTTCCCTGATTTTCCCCCTTCTAATAATCTCCATAAATATTAGTTACAGATCTGTACCTTGAAGTGACACATCCCCAATTCCTATACTGAATTCCAGCCAGAAACAACAACATACTAATTTCTTACCTGCCTCTTCAAGGTGGGAAACAGCAACAAATTAGACTCCAGTTAACTGAACATTCAATACAACACCAATATATATTAAAACACATACTTTAAAAATCATAGTTTTTAAAAATCTGGATAAGTCTGCTGGAAGAGACTAGTCCTTACTTCAGTTTTAAACTTGGAAAGGGTATTTCACAGCCTGGGGAAGGTGAGGAAAAGATATCCTCTAAGTAATAGTTGTCAGCCTAGTTTTAGCTGATAGAAGTCCCCCCAGAGAATCTGAGTGCACAGATAAATAACCTGAACTCAAACCATGTAGGGCTTTACAGGTAGCAACCAACACTTTGTACCTTGCCCAGAAACTAACTGGCAACCAGTGGAGTGATTTTAATGTTGGTATAATATTATTCTAGATGTGCCAGTAACCAATCTGGCTGCCACAGTTTGAACTAACTGAGGTTTCCAAACTTGGTACAGAGGAAACCCAATGTACAGTTCATTCAGAAGTCCAGCCCTGAGGTGCTTATTATGAGGTGCATTACACACCTACATACACACATAACAAAATATTTCTCGTTTCACTTACCAATTTAACTATGGTTACAGATGGCAATAATTTAACCATGGCTGGAGAATATTGGCTCAAAGTTTTCCTAGGGCTTTAATTTTGTTTTAGATATTCACTACATACATTGAACTAAGGGAGGTTGCAGACTGCCAGAAATGTGCAAATTGAGTCCACTTTTAGGGTTAGGGTTAGTGCTAGGGAATCATGGGAATTGTGTTGTTTTTTTCTGAGACATTGAGCCTTCTCTGTCAGAGAGCTCTGATGCCACAATAAAATACAGTTCCCATGATTCCCTAATCCTAACCCTAACCCTAAAAGTGGACTCAATTTGCACTATTTCTGGCAGTCTGCAACCCCTCTAATAGTTGTGAAATGTACATGTGTAGCTATTTGTTTTTGCTCAAAAACTACTAAATATATTATCAATGTACAATCTATTATGACAGATTTGGATAGTGCAGAAAAATTAAAATCCATTCGTGAGTGGTAGAAATTGGAGGGGGAATCCATTCCATGATTCATTATCCAGATTTGGTGATTGCCTTCAAACTAGCTTGTACTCATTTGACTTTGCACAAAGTATACCAAAGAGGCAACTGATGACATTCACAGCTGGTATTCAAGGCAGAGCACCTCAAAAACTGTAAATCAAGGGATGGTGTGGTCAGATCTCTTGATGAGAGAAAATAACTGCCTGCCTGAAAAAGAACTCTGGTAAGGAAGGATCATTAACATCTTGAAGTTAGGATCTCCACTCCATCCCCAATTTAGGAAACCTGGTCAAGGCTGGCTGTTCTTGGTGCCACCCACACTGTTTTTCTTCATGAGATCTCTGCAAAACTCATTTGGTATTAACTGGGATCATACACCAACAGCTGTTATTCAAGACTGGGACTTAGGATGAAGTTTTTCATTTTCATGCATTTTGACACCATCTTAGACATTACTATTGAAAAAGAACAAGGTTTTTCATTTTCATGCATTTTGACACCATGTTAGACACTACTATTGAAAAAGAATAAGAATAGCCCTTGTCACTGAAGGAAATAAACTGACAAATCTAACACACAAATGTTGATAAAGTAGATAATAATAATAAAAAAAACAGGCAAAAGTGACAGCAAAAATTATTATAACTAGAAAAAAAGAGCATGTGGTTTTACTTTTTTTGGGTAAATACTAGAAAATAATATTTCAGAAAATAACTTCAAATGAAGTAATTGTCAGGGAGAAAGAAAAAAACCACAACCAATCATTTTTGTCCTCCCTCTCCAACACACCTAATTTTAATGTGGCAAGTATATTTCCCAACTGAAACTTAATGTTTAATGTTGCTGTAGTTGGTCCATAACAGAAATCCCAACTGCTAAAATGAGAGGGGAGGTAAAGGATAATTAGGATTCCAAATATATTTCTCATCCCTTTATTCATTGTTGTCCAAGGATGTTGGATTCCCATTGCAGTGAGGCAGTAATTCTGTTCCTCACATTAGATGGGGTAGATGGGGGATGTTAATATCAGTGGAGTGGAGGCCAATCTGGAAAGGCCTGCCAGAAGAGATCCATCTTAACAGCCTTTTTAAAGGCTTCTAAAGTGGTAATGTGATGGATCTCCACCACCAGGCCATTCCATAACCCAGGAGCAGCAGATGAAAAGGCCCTCTGGGTGACCACAGTCAATCTGGTCTTCTTAGGCTGAAGTAAATTTTCCCAGAGGACCTAAGTGTGCAGGGTGGATTATATGGAGGAAGGTGCTCCCGTAGGTAGTCTGGACTTAGGCCATGTAAGGTTTTAAAGGTTATAACCAACACCTTGTACTATGCCCGGAATCTAATTGGCAGCCAATGGAGACATTTTAAAACAGGTGTTATATGGTCGGCTTTAGATGTACCTGCAACCAGCCTAGTTGTCATATTTTGCACCAGTTGAAGTTTCCAAACTTGGCACAAAGGTAGCCCCATGTAGAGTGCATTGCAGAAGTCAAAATGAGAGGTTACCAGCACATGTACCACTGTTTCTAGGTTGCTTGGCTCCAGGAAGGGTTGCAGCTGGCATATCAGCCGAAGCTGATAACAGGCACTCCTGACCATCATGTCTATCTGAGGTGTCAACTGGAGAGACGAGTCCAGCAGCACCCCCAAGCTGCAAACACAATCCTTCAGGGAAGTGTGACCTCATCCAGAACCAGTTGACATATCTCCATTACCGGGTTAGGAGTCCCTATAGCAAGTACCTCCGTCTTATCTGGATTTAATTTGAGTCTGTTTTCCCTCATCCAGTCCATTACTGCCTTAAGACATTCAGTCAGAGGAGAGATGCAATCCTTAGTCACTGCAGCAGTCCAAGACATAGAGAAACATATCTGGGTGTCATCAGCATACTGATAACACCCCGCCCCATATCTCCGGATGATCTCACCCAGCAGTTTCATGATCTGTAAATTAAGTCTATGTACCACCTGGCTTCAATGGTGTACATGACTTTCTCGTTCTTCAGTAAACGGTGGCATAGAGGTTTTTGTTTTAGGGACACGACAGAACAATGCATACATAGAGAATATATATATGAAAATGCTTCACCTCTGGTAACAGTTCTATTCCCTGCTTGGCCATGGAAAACCACTGGGTGGCCTTAGGTGAGTCACTTACTCTCAGACCCAGAAAACCCAGTGATAGGTTCACCTTACGGTCACCTGCATACATCTAATCCAGGTAGATTCAATGGACTCCCTGAATCAAAAATATCCTTGCCTACCAACAGAAAGCCATCAAAGAATGGACCAGCATGGCCTCCCTTGGCAGGGAATTGTAGAAAGTCTCTATTGGTTGTCTATTGAATGTGCATCTGATGGTAGTGGGACCAGAAGAATAGGTCTCCTGGAAATCTGAGTGTCTTATATGGGGAAACAGATAAGATGGACTAAAGTCTTAAGGGCTTTTAGAAACTTTGAATTGTGACTGGAAACAAAACATATCCAATAAAGTTAGTGTGACAAAGGAATTGCTTGCTGTCTGTATTTGGTTCCAGCATACTCTCCAGGGACAGTCCCGATTAATCCACTCTCTTCACACTTTTCCAGCTGCTTTTAAAATGTCCTGATTTTTGTCTCCTCCTTTTCCCCCTTTCTCCCTAGCTTGCTTCAGTTGAATTCAAAGTGCTAAGGTAGTATACCCTCAATTAGTTGAGCAAGGGAAAGAGGAGAGGAGGATTGAATCTTGTCCTTCCCAGTAGGCTCAGGCAAAATAAACTGCTGCAGCTTCTCCAAGCTTGTGTGTTCTTCCTTCTAAATAACCTTTGCCATCTCAACCACACTCGGATGTTGCTTGTTCATGTGTCCAGGTGTTCATCTATGAAATGTTGGAGAGTCAGCTGTTTAACTGCATTTTGGACCAGCTGAAATTTCAAGAATAGTCCAAATGAAGTATAACTAATGGCATGTATCACCAAAATTCTTTAGGAACTCTCTAGAAACAGGTGCAGAGCGCTCCTGGCCACTGCTAAAGTGCAGGCATCTAATTTCAGGGCTGGAACCATGAATATTTCTGCCTTTGTCTTAATTAAGCTTCAGTGTTTTGTTCATAATTCAAATCCCAAATTACTTCATATAGTGATACATGATAGGATCAGCTACAAGTATAGCCCAGGAACAGGCACAGTTTACTTCAGATCAGTTTAGCTGTGACCTTAATATCTTTCCATTTATAATTTGAGATGTCTATACAAACCTCAAGAGCCAGCATGGTGTAGGGGTTTGAGCAATGGATTACAACTCTGGAGACCAGGGTTCAAATCCCTGCTCAGTCATGGAAACAAACTGAGTGACCTTGAGCAAGTCACATACTCAGCCTCAGAAGAAAGCAAAGGCAAATCCCCTCACTATAAATCTTGCCAAGAAAATCCTGTGATAGGTTCACCCTTATTGTTGTCATAAATTGGAAATGATTTGAATGCATACAACAACAACAACAACAACAACAACAACACAAAGCTATTAACAGTTCCTGCCTATCAGGCCTCAGAGACAGAGCTGAAGCTGGGAATGACCTGGAAACTAGTGTATGTCTGGCCCAAGAGTTATTGAGGAAGAAGCCAAATCTCTGGATTTACAACTGAAAGCCTTAATACAATCAACAGTTCTAAAGAAAGCTGAAGGCACTTCAACAGAACATTTGTTACTCATTATTTCCACCAGGAAATTAGTTCCCCAAGGCCACAGGGTAGGGAGCCAGGACCCTTTTCAGATCATCTGTATCCCCACCCTCCAAACATTATGGCTCAAAAATGAGAACTGCTGCTTTTTGCAGTCTTCAAGAACTGTGATTCTAAAACCATGGAGCCCAAGTATGGGGGGAGGGGCTCAAAACCCCTAACAGCCCCCAAAAGTGAATGCCTCCCCAAACAATAATCAGGTAACAATGGCCCACCATGGCACTTATGTAGTTGAGCTCCCACAGGAATTATCAGAACTCTAAATAGTTTATTGCCCTTGGTAAATATGATCACCTCGCTATGCACTGCTAATTCCAGGTTTTGTATCAGGTGATTCTCCTTACCTCAAGCTTGGTAGACATTGCATTTTCTTTTGGGAATATTAAATATGCATCCCCTTTTATCTTCTAACACACAACCTTCATAGCTTTTGATTTTAAAATATAGTGGAGGGGTTTATTGTTTTAACTGTTTTGTAAAAATGTACCTGTAGGAAAATTAATGACTTTTCTGCCAGTGTTGAGCCCTCTCCCCCCCCCCCC